CCCTCGCGGGAAGAGCTATTCTGTTTACAAAGTGCCCCATTCTAAGCACAACCTGAGATATTGAAGAACTGGGGCCTGTAAGCTGAAGAACCAACGACCAATGAGACATGAAGGGCTGGGTCCTCCCACCAATTAGGGGATTGGAAACAATCCTAAAGTTCAACGCTGGAAGAAAAACCTTTCTTTAATATATCTTGAAAAGGCATAGGGAAAGTGGAGGAAAGTCCAGATAAAACTATTGATGGAAAGAGCCCCTCTCCCCCTCCCCAAGACACAAATCTGATTCATCAGTTGGAATGGGAGAGCAAAGACAGAGTAAGGTGTGGGAGACCCTGTGTGAAAGCAAAACAGTCATTCACCCACAAATCTCTCCCCACTCCTAGGGTATATCTTGATTTTCTACTGAACAGTTAAATGCTTCTGTTTCTGGAGGGGTCTACATAGCCTCTGTATTTCCCCACCACCACCAAAAAAATGCTGATAGAATTCGCAGCTGGCATAACAAAAATAAAAACACCAACGACAACACAATATTGCAATACCGAGACCATCTTAGAGCTTAAGACTATTTTAGAGAAAAATACTGGCACAAAATTTTAATAAAATAACATTCTTTTTACAAATTCAAAAAAAAAGGAAAGGAATTGGTCCCTCTTAAGAAGCAAACTTGTTCTTTGAAATGCAAAATTATTTAGGACCACCAATGTGACTTCCCTGCAGAAGAGGATGCTCTGCCCCCACCCCCCAAAAGGCCACTCCTCACTCTTAAAATCAAAAGGGAGCCTTATGAGCTTATGGATTGTCAGTTTATGGCACCTCGGGGGGAGGGCGGGGAGTTCTTTATTTATCATGCGATTCTAACAGGGCGGTTAACTTTTAGGCTCTTTCCCCCATTGATTTTTAAAATATCAGCCCCCAATAAAACTCTCCAAGGACATTCAAATTTCCCCCCCATTTCTCCTCCCAGCCAAAATATGTCACAGTTTCATCCAAAAGCATGATGTGTCGTCCCCACCCCCTTTTACAACCAGTGGAAATTCTTGTTTCTTTCTCTTTCTCTCTCTTTTAAAAGGAAAACCATGACAGTAAAAAAATTACAAATGACAGAAGTTCAATTGAACGCCTAGATGGATGCCCTCAATCCATCTACAAGGACTTCTGTTCTTGCCTGCTCCTTCCCTTCACTCATCGGCATCTGGCTTCACATCCAACATGGCGTGTAGCTCTTCGGGTGTGTATCCCAGCAAGCTTTGCAGGTCACACACAAAACGGTAGACGTAGCGCTTCCCGGCCGTCTTGTGGATGATGTTCTTGTCATAGTAGTAACGCAGCCCACGACTCAACTTCTCATAGTTCATTTTGGGCTTGTTTTTCCTCTTGCCCCACCTCCTTGCAACCTGGGAATGGCAAGTACACCAGAAACATCACGGAAAGTCCTTGGCGAGCTCGGAAGGGAAGGGAAATAAACGAGTCAATGCCAATTGCGTAAAATACCCTCGGGCAGCTTTAGCGGTCATGGAGAATCCCGGGAACTGTAGTTTGCTAAGGGTGCTGACCTTGCAGAGCTACAGTTCCTAGCATCCTTCACGAAGTAGAGTTCCCAGGATACTCCATGATTCTTAGACCTTCAGTAGTGGTGTAAATATCTGGTGTGGGTGCAGAAGGGACGGAAAGGCGATGAAGAGAGACAGGAGGTGGACTTTTTAAATACGTCAGTTTGGGTATTAGATTGCCATTCGCTCCAATTGAGCTTTAAAGAGCAGGTTTTCATGGGGCAACAACCCCCCCCCTTACTCAAGCATGGACCATGCCTGGATAAGAGCAGAAGAGAGGTAAGTACAGATAAGCCCTTAGTTTAATTAATTCAACACAAATTATAAATTTGATTCAGTGATACCAGCTTTTCAAAGTTTCATAGTCATTTCCATCTCCAAAGTCCACCTGCTGCCCCCTTACCTCTTAGTGCCCCCCCCTAAGGATTTGTGCTGCCCCCCAGAAGCAGTACCACTCACTTTTGAGAACCACTGCTCTAGGTCCTTACCTATTTATTCCTTCCCTTACAGCACGAGTGTCTCTCCAGGCCTGATTCAGGCCCATACGTACCTCATCCGGATCAGATAGCTTGAACTCCCAGCCGTCGCCTGTCCAGCTGATGAAGGACTGGCAGGACTTGTCTGTGAGGAGCTCCAGCAGGAACTGCCACAGTTGAATCGGTCCACTACCTAAGACAGCAAAGGGAAAGGACCCCAACAGCATTAAGAACGGAATCCATAGCAAGGCGCCTTGTCCACTAGGACCAACCAAGTTTTCAGCCCTTCATGACTGAGTGGTCTGCTACCTGCCAGGCCAGTGACCCAAAGGACTCTGCTTGCCATTTTTGTAAGACCCTCACCATGGGGAAACTTGGCTAGCTCAATCTGGCCTACAGATCGATGGTCCTCCACCCCCTCCCCGGGTTTAAGCCACCTCTGGATATTGTGGCTATTAATAAACACATGTATTATGCAATATTGGAGGATTCATGAAATATACTCTGAGTCGAGAGTGGATTTTATGCTCTTTATTCAGCTCATAGTGGTGAGGAAGAATGTCTGCTTTATATACATTATTTACACAATGGGCCCCATGTGATTGGCTAATTCCGGGATTCTCCTGTAGGCCAATCAGGTTGCAGATTCACTTCCACCTGGAGCTGGATTGGGTGGCTCCTGTGGACCAATCAGACTGCTGCATTCTGGGTTCTATTGTTCTAGGACCAATCAGACTGCTGCATTCTGAATCCAATTGTTCTGGGAGCAATCAGACTGCTGCATTTTGGATCCTATTAAACTCAGTACATAACACCTCAGCTAGATGTTACAAAAGGCACACCCAGCTGGTGCCATTTTGGTTCTCCTTGCGTGGCAAGGTTTCCCCCCCCTGCCCTTCAGACCCCCTGCCCTTCAGATGCATGACAACTAGCGTTTTGGGTAAAATCAAGCCACAATTTTATTGAATACATATTAAGAGGTTTGACTCAGGCATTGGGTAGAAGCCACCACTTTTGGCCCACCCAAAGTGGGCTGAAAGTAAGCCGGAAGGACTTGCGTTTGGGGTCAGCCGGAAGTGAGGGAGTCCCTGACCTACATGAAGGAATAATGCCCCTGCTGGATTGCATCTGGGGGGTGCTGTGGCCCCTTGCCCCCACCTGGGCATCTGGACAGAAGCATCTCCTCTGGATCCCTTTAAAGGGATACTCCATTCTCAGAGGGGCAGGCAGAGGCCATAACCTCCCCTCTGTCCAAGACTACACCTACTCAAAGCCTAAACTGCCAAAGTTGTGATGAGGATGACGAAAACCTGAATGCTGGAATTGGGGGAAATTCCAACTTGGCACCAAATACGGCGGCCGACTCTGCTACTGCAAGGTCCAGCAGAGCCACATGTGACAGCAATATGGGGCGGGAGGGAGAAGTGTCTCCAGTGCAAGCGATGGGCCTTCATTATATACCGGAGGAGCGGGCTGGACCTGCCTCTCAAGAGCGGCCCACCCGCATGCCTGCTCAAGATTCATCAATTGAATGAGTGGGTAGGATCAGCTTCCCTGGCAGCAGGATCGATCCAAGAACCCCCTTTGCTGCCCGGGAAACAGTCCAAGGGGCTTCTCCTGTCAGATTGCAGCGGGCAATGCAATGGCATCCACTGAGAAGGATGAGCTGTCTTTTGAGTAATCTCTAATCCAAATAGTGCAAGCCGCGATACCCCTGGGCTGTGGGGTCTCCAGTCTGTGATGTGGGTGAGCATGTGGGTGGGGGGGCAGCAGCAGCAGGGAGGTACCACACGTAGTGATGCCATGCCACATGGCACATCTCTTGCAAAAGCCTTTGCCAGGCCCCAAGGGCATCAGTAGAGGAAGAGGCAAGCCTGGCAGGTTCAGTGTTGCCACTGAATGCGAAAATCTGCAGGATGATTCCCGGGCAAAGATTCAGCCCTGGTTCCCCAGTTGCTTAAGCAATATGACATTTATTTATTTTTTTGCATCCAGGCAAAGGAGGCCCCATTTCCCTGATGCACGGGCCTCCTCCCCCCCCCACCTGCCGAAAAAGGGCCCTTGGCCGAGACCTGACCTCTGGCACGCTCCTGCCCCCGCGTCTTGCCAGCCGCCTCCCCTGACCTTGACTTTTTGTTCCCTGGCAGTGTTTACCAAGATGTGATAAAGAGGAGGCAGGTATGGAAATTATTTGGCCTCCATCCAAGGCGTGTTGATGCAGGAGCAAGCGGCAAAAACTCCCCAGGCAAGAATGCTCGGAGCCAGTGAGTCAGAGCCGTGGCTATTCAGGTGAGAGGAGGCAGACCCCAGAAATAGGGCAGCAGGAGTGGCTGGCTCTCGCCTCTCTTTCACGAGGCTTGTGCTTTATATATCCCCCACCTCCGGGCACCCGGCGTCAGCTGCACCCCCAGTTTCCAGTCTCTAGCCACACACAAACACACCGAGGGGCTGACAGTCTGTCACCTCCTGTCTACTTTGGTTGACTGGGTTAGACACACTGAATCATGGGTGGGGAATCTCAGGTTCTGGGAGGAGTTGAATGCGGCCCTCTGTGTCCGGCCCTCATAACTCTCTCTAGACCACACCCCTCACCCGCACTCATCTCTTTGACTCAGCAGCGCTCAAGAGCAGATAAGCAACTTCTCCTGAGGTCTGCTGTGGATTCTGGGTTGTCAGGGAATGCCACTATTATTTGCCATTCCCCTCCAGCATCATGGAATCGTAGAGTTGGAAGGGATCTTGAGGGACATCTAGTCCAACCCCCTGCAATGCAGGAACCTCAGCTAAAGCATTCAGGACAGATGGCCATCCAACCTCTGCTTAAAAAACTCCAATGAAGGATAGCCCACCTTCCGAGGGGGGGGTCTGCTCAACTGTTGAATTGGGGGAAGCCAGAAAGTTCTTCCTGATGTTCAATATCCAGGCACCTCAAACAATTTACCTTCTTCCTTTTCCCCTGCCTCTTAAGGGACACCATAGCTCAGGGGCAGAACATCTGCTTGGAGTGCAGAAAGTTCTAGGTTCGGTCCCTGGAATCTCTTGGTAAGGGCTGGGAGAGATTCCTTGCTCGAAGACCTGGAGAGCCATTGCTGCCAGTCCGTGAAGGCACTGCTGAGCCAGACGGACCTTGGGTCCGATTCAGTATAAGGAAACAGCTTCCTAAACTTAATGTGACCCTCCTCTGCAATGGCCTTTCAACGCCGGTTTCAGCCTGCCAAGTTCTTTGTGGCCACGTGGACCACATCTAAACCAGCCTGGCAAAGCCAGCCAGGAAAACCTTCCAAGTTCCCATGAGCTGGGTTTCCAAGATGCTGAGAAATTCACAGCTAGCTTGGATATGCAACTCCAAAAAAACAGCAATGGCCTTGGTTTTTTTCCACAGTCCTGGGGAACATGTTGGCCTCCTGAAGATCCCGCCTTTCCATGCAATGGATCTATTCCTGATAAGAACATCAGAAGAGCCTGCTCGATCAGGCCAATGGCCCATCTTGGCCCAGCATCCTGTTCTCACAGTGGATGATCAGATGACCTTGGGAAGCCCACAAGCAGGACTGAAGTGCAAGAGCACTCACCCCTCTTGTGGGTGAACGATGAATCAATGACCTTCCATTCATAATTTTTAAAAGCTATTTTGCAAAGCAAACAATGAAACAAGGAAGGGCAGGGATCAGCCCTGCTCAACAACACCAGCAACCGCAGTAACAGCAGATGCTTCTAATTTACCACCAACAAATCCACAGTGAAGGTACAAAGTTGGTGCGAAATGTTGAGGCAAGAGCAAAACTAAGCTAAAAACAAAACTGGCAATATTTCAGACAGTCCCGTCGAGCAAAGCCCTCACTGGCTGCCCCGAATTTCCATCGCTTCCTAGGACAAAAGCAAGAAGCCCCAGGCCTAGGAGTGTAATGTGGCCCTTGAGGCCTCGTCAACTGGCCCTCGGAACTCATTGCAGGCCCTGATTCTCTTCTGTTTTCACCTGGGTGGAAATATGTCCTTGAACTCTGATCAGGCCTCTTTATTGGCTTGACTGAATGGAGGGCGGGCAGGGCTGTGTGTGTAGGAACTAGCCTATTCTAAGATAGTAAAATCTGCACCTGTTGTTCCTTGGCCCTGCCTACCACTGCTCTGTGGCCCTCAGAAGGCTGCCCAGAAGGAAAAAGCATTCAGTCCTGCATCTCAAGCTACAGGGCATTTCCATTCCTAACAAGTCAAGGTTTAGCGAGAGCTGCCTGATCTGTCTTTGCACCTCTCTTGTGCCAAGCAAAGCTAGAACAGGAGCCAAGATTTCATGGCTTAGCCAAGGCTGGATGAGGACCACACCTGCCTCCTGCTCTTCCTGAAAGCTAACAGCAAACACAAGGAGGACCAGCAAACACAACACCAGGAAAAGGAGAAAGGAAAAGACATCAACCATCACTGTGTGACTCTGACCACCTTTATACTCAGCCCTGGGCTTGCAGAAGAAGTCTTTCCTGGTCTAGAGATTCCAGTTCAGTTGCACCTTGTTATAATACTCTGCTTACATACCCTCCAAGTGTCCCTACTTTCTAGGGACAGTGTCAGAATTATGAAAACCATTCCAGCTTCTGATTTGATCCTGGAATGTCCCTATTTCCCCTGCCAGTACCGCTGCCATTGAGCTTGGAGAGGAGGATGAGCTGTTGCTTGTCCACGACTGCCACTGCTGGCCTGCTCCCTTGGGCAGATTGTAGTGGCTCCAAGGAGGTGGAGGAGAGGCTACCACCACTGAGGCCCTGCTGGTTCAGAGAGGCAGGCAGAGGGCAAGGCTGCTCTGGGCAGGAAGAAAGTGAGAGTGGAGCTCAAAAAGTCTTGATATATATTTTTTAATGCAATGCAGGAATCATAGCTCAATAGTTCCTGACAGATGGCCACCTAACCTCTGCTTAAACACCTTGAACGAAGGAGAGTCTTCAGACTTCAATTTCTACAGGAACTCAAAGATCCTTGGGCTTTCCTCCATGCCATTTAGAGATACAGAGTCCGCGCACTACAAACAGGAGGACCCCTCCGACACGGACACGGCAGGAGCAGACGACAAGCTGCCTTTTGTGACGTGATCCTCAAAGCCTTTGGAAGGAAGCCGGAGGCTGGCAAGCTCAACCCACTGCAGGATCCGCCAAGCCCAGTCAGTTGCATGGGCAAGACCTGCCCCCCCCCGCCCACCACAAAAGGCATCACCCCCTCCCCACCCACCAGGAAGAGGGAGAAAGTTCCGGCCTGCCCCTTGACAGCGGCCTGCTGACCTCTGTCCTGGAGAGGGAGCCCCATGCGCTAAGAATAGAGGCAGCCAGAGGGGGCTCACATGCTAAATGCAACTCACAAAGGAGGGCCTTGTCTCGCCCCCAGAGGAGTGAAGGGAGCCCTTGAGCAGCAGCCGTCGGGAGACAGTCACACGCTAGGAATTCTCTGGCATCACCGGGAAAATATGACTCGTCAAACGGATTATGAAATGGGGACTACAGTGGGAACCCTGTTTGAGGAGAAAGTCCCTCTGGGTGTGGGTGTGCGGCAAATGTACATCTACAGGCACCACTTCCAGATGCTCCCATTGCCAGAGTTTACTATGCACAGACTCTGTTTAGCGCTGCTGCCCCACCTCCCGCTAAGACACTGGCTCTGTTTTTGCCTTCTGGGAATGCCTTGTTAAAGTTGTGTTGGGAGCTGGTAACTATGTCATTCCTGAGTGACCCATTCCAGTGTCTCCTAGAAGTGACATTTCGGAGCGACGGAGTAGGGCACCTCGACTCCAGCATGCACAGGTGAGAGGGAAGACACCTGAATGCCAAAGGGACACCTGTGCTGCTGCAGCTCCTGCAGAATATTTTAGACCATGAAGCTGTTGGTGGGCAGTTATGCTTTTCTGTTGCATCTCTAATAGTTAAACAAAGGGCTGCATTCAATGCCAATTCTACTCAGTGGAGACCCAATGGAATTAATAGGCATGGCCAACATAGGTCCGTTAATTTCAATAGGTCTACTCTGAGTAGAGGTTAGTGGGCTATTGAAGCAGTATCTTCAATGGATGTTGCAGAATCAATTTATGCAATGCCTAGCAGGCAGAGTAGAGCCTTTGGGTGTGTGTCATGAGGCAGGATGGGGAGTGGGGCAGGGGCTTTGGGGATGAACATAAGGGTGTTACGTTTGTGCCCCTATTTTATTTGCCTGACATTCCACAGTTACATCACATGGGTCTGAAGGTCCCCTTGGTTCTACTAACTATTAGCTAGACTGGTCAGAAGAACCATGTTCCATCATGCAACCAATACTGGGGTTTAAGGAAAGGCGATGGGCTGGCTCTAGATTCTGCCAACCTCAACCAAGACCTACCAGACTCCCCCAATCAATACCTCTAAACTGTCACATTCTGCCCTGGAAGACAACATTGAAAACAACCACTCAAAAGATTACCACCCTATAATTGCAAAGGCACATTGGGATGAAACCATCTCAACCAAACCATACAGTTAGCATTGAACTCTAGTGAATATCAACCATATCTAAAATGTAGCTTTTCTGTACATCTGGGGTTTAGGGGAAGTTTACTTGCTTGCGGTTTTTATCTGGCCTCAACATGCTTTTTGTCATTCTCCCAGTGATGCTTTGCAAAGCAGCTGTAAAAATGAGAGCTGCCCACATTTTATTGGGCTCTGATTTCAATGGGACAAAATACTAGGGAATAGAGTGTACGGCATCCCTGTCACGTGCCAAACTGCTTGCAAAGGTTGTGAAGCTACGAGGCAGAAAATAAGTAAGCAAACTAGCTGCCTGCCTGTCTAAACATACCTACTTATTTGTTGCACATCAGCGGCTTGAAAGAAGAGGAAAAGGACCCACCTTTATAACTGAGAAGCAACCATGTTAGTAACAAGTAAATATTCGCTTATCTGTTCTCTCACATTCCTTTTTTTGGGTATGACCCCCCTCCCCTTCTGAAAGCTGTGTTCAGGTATTCTTTGGGGTACAAAGTAATGTGTTTTTTTGGGGGTGGGAATTATTTGAAGGTCTCATCTGCCCAGGGACTTTGCATGCCCACCCCTGACAGCACCCACAGGGTGTGGCAGAACATGGCATGGCTACTCACCTATCTCCGACCAACTATCAAGGCTGGGGTGTGTGATGTATAATGTTTCATTATGTTTTATGTATGTTGGAAGCCACCCAGAGTGACTGGGACAACCCAGTCAGATGAATGGGGCCATAATAATAATAATAATAATAATAATAATAATAATAATAATAATATTACAACAACAACAACAACAACAATAATAATAATAGGAGGTTTTGCCCATTTTGGAAAGAGCTTCATTTCTCCTCAGGACACATTTGCATGGCAGATTTCTAGGCCTTCATTTTAGCACACCCAGCCAGGAGTGTGGAAATGCCAGGTGGAGTCCCTGAACTCTTAGATTTTCGTCTGCTTTGAAATGGAGAAGCCTGGTCTGGGAACTACATGGCCAGTCCTAGTTTATTCCCTCTCTGCTCGGAGGACCAGTGCACCTCAAGCCCCACAGGCCCCTGTGTGCATGGGCCTCAGCAGAGACAGCTCTTGGCTGCATCAGTTCAGGATAGAGGCAAGATCAGAGCCAAGGTGATGAAACTTTTTCTTTCAAAGATGACTCAGAAAGCATCCACATTAAGTTTGAGGGGACAGCAAGAGGGTCCCATGTAGATGAGTCTTTTCTTTTCTTTTCTTTTCTGTTGGTTTTTGGGGAGGAGGATAGGGAGATCTCACCCATGTTATTGCGGCAGCTGTTACCAAGCTTACGGGAGCCGTGCTTACATCAGAAGCATTTTAATGTTTAATGTTTTATTATGTTTTTTTATATGTTGGAAGCCACCTAGAGTGGCTGGGGCAACCAAGTCAGATGGGTGGGGTATAAATAATAACTGTTATTATTTTTATTGTATTGTATTGTATTGTATTGTATTGTATTGTATTGTATTATTGTATTGTATTATTTTATTGTATTATTTTTATTGTTATTATAATTATTGTTATAATTATTAGTATTATTATCAGACAA